TTCCATTTCTCTCTCTGCCTCTCTCTCTCTCTCTCTCTCTCTCGTCACGAGGCCAATCCAGAGTGACCAGAGCTGCTTCTGGACCACACTGACCCGCCGACGCCGTTGGAGCCGATGTAGTTGAGGATGATAGAGCCGGAGTCGTTGGTGGTGACGACAGAAAGGACCATGGCGATGAGTGAGATTACAATCATGAAGTTGCCGATGTTGGAGTACTGAGATATCACATCGAACCACATCTCGTCGATGGTCCTCGTCGACAGCTGCCGGATGTCTGAGCAGTTTCTGATAGTAGACGGGACCATCTCGAAGTAGCCGACCCTGGCGGTGCTGGAGGCCAGGCTGTTGCCGTAGAGGGCGGAGGAGCAGTAGTCGGAGGAGAAGGCGACGTTGTCCTTCACGATCTTGCAGCGAGCGAAACATCCGTCACGGATGGCGAGCCTCTCCATTCTCAGCCCTGCTCCCCCGAACACTGCGAACCAAACCTGTTGAACAGTTTCAGATGCGGGTATGATGATGATGATGATGATGATGATGATGATGATGATGATGATGATGATGCTGATGATGATGGTAATCAGGATATGTAGCAATGTGTCAAGTCATAAAGATCACCAAGAGCAGCCAAACAGACATGTTGACAACTGAATGCCAGACAGCCAAATCAGACGAAAACGCCGCTCAGAACTATCCCCTTCACAGCACATGCTCGTACACAATAGAAAACAACTCTCAGATCACCTTGACAAGTCATCAAAGACACAGGGAATCATGCAAAGGACCAAACACCAACATCCTGGCCAGCACAGGCAACTTACCATCGTGAACAGGACAGGTCCTGTCAAAGAAGCATTGATAACCTCCTTGATAGTCCTCCCCTTGGAGATCCTCGCAATGAACATTCCCACAAATGGCGACCAGGATACCCACCAGCTCCAGTAGAAGATAGTCCACCAGTCCATCCAGATCTGCGGGCCGGACTTCTTGTCGACGGAGATCCCGAGCTGGGCAAAGGCGTCTGTGTGGGAACCCAGCACGATGAAGGTGTGGATGTGGTGGCCGATAGACTGGAAGAAGAGGTTGAGGAGGTACTTGGTGTCGTCGGCGAGCAGGGCCATGAAGAGAAGGCTGAGCATCACACAGAAGGAGATAATAGAGAGGACCCTCACTCCCCTCCGGAGCCCCGCGTGTGCTGAGATGCCGCCAAGGACGGTCATGAGCGCGATCAGGATCACCTTGACTCCCGTGCTCTGATTCACGTTGAACAGCATGTTCAGACCCGTATTGATCTGGATTGCTCCAACCCCCATGCTGATGCAGATTGCAAAGAGAGTTGTGAATACAGACAGAGTGTCGACTACATCTCCGAACCAGCCAAACACCATCTTCCCGAAGATCGGGAAGAAACACGAGCGGATAGTGAGCGGAAGCCCAAGGCGATAGGCCGCGACTCCCGTAGACAGGCCGACGATGGTGTAGCACATCCATGCCTGCCAAGGAGAGCAGGGTGAGCACAAGGAACCAGGACAAGGCACTGGTCGTTACGTGGATCCCCCAGTGATAGTACGCCAGGTTGATTGACGTCTGCGAGATCTCGTCGAAGGTCAGGTATCCCCGAGCTACGTATCTATTGTATCCCAGATGCAGAATGGGCTCCCCAACACCGTAATATACAAGGCCAGTTCCTTGATCAGCAACTCAGCACACAACGGATAGGAAATAAAGAGCCTTGTCCAGTACCTGTTCCCGCCGTTCCGAACATCATCATAAACCAGGTGACGGTGTTGTAATCAGGTTTGGTGTCCTCGTGCCCAAGCTTCATCGATCCATACTTGGGGCTTTGCGAAAGCAAGATAGTCAAGAGAATTTTGCAGAGCAAAAAGAGAGCAGAGGATATCAAGTACAAAGGTTCAAGCAACAAGGTCAAGGCAAGAGCGATCTTTGCAAAGAGGGAGGGAGGGAGGAGGAGGAGGAGGGAGGGAGGAAGGGAGGGAGGGGAGGGAGGGAGGGAGGGAGGGAGGGAGGGAGGGAGGGGAGGGAGGGAGGGAGAGCAGAGCTTGAAGGATCAGGTCATTCGCTTACATGAGCCAGATGTACGCTATGAACAAGACCCAGATGTTCTGCGCGCCGATAAACAGCCAGGTGAAGTTATTCGTGATCCACCTACATCCAGCATGAGCGCAGATCAAACAAACAGACTTGTCGAAGGACTCTGAGGGTAGACATACCTCTTGGTGATCACCGTATGCGAGAAAAATTCATCCTTCTTCGCAACGGCTATAATGACAAGTATGAGAGTTCCCAGCTGCAAGACGTACGTCATCGAAGCAACACTCTCCTGCAGAGCAAGAGCATGCAGGCAGAGCTCACCAGCGACAGACCGATCACGACAGGGTTCCCTCGGAAGCCGGAGACTTGGAAATCGTTCATGTGCAACAACCTCGGCAAATCCACCTTGTTGGCATCATCGGAGTTGGCAAAGATCGCGCTGTCAGTAGCCCCTGAGATTCCTCTCCTCGTCGTTCTGATTCTCTTCAAGCTCGTAGTGGGGGCGATTGACTCCACGGCGTCTGATTCCGACGCTCCCTCGGGGCTACTCTCCTCTACCTCGGACGAGGAGGACATAATTTCAACGAGACCCTGACGAGAGACACATCGTCATGTGGAGAGTTTTCCGAATGATGAACGCTCATGTGAGGATCATCCTTTTCTATACATCTTGCATGAATACATAACCATCACCTGCCTGTTTGCATGCATTCCGGCCTGCTTTCCCTCATCTCCTCCATCTCGCCAGCTATGTTATCTTATATGCGAAACTTATGCACCAGAATATCAAGTGACGCTGCTTCTCCTACTTTTCTCTCCTCCTTTCCTTCCTACTCCTCCTCCGCTCGCCCACATTCGCTATCTCCAGCTCTTTACTGCGTCGTTACTTCTTTTTCCTGCTCCGCCTGTTTCTATATCATCAAAATCCTGCTCGTTTTCTCGAGTATGCTGCTCTCCTCCTCATCCTTGTCATCCTCAGAAGTCTCCTCGTCCTCGTCCTCGTCCTCGTCCTCGTCCTCTACCTCGTCTTCACGCCGCTGTTCCTACTGTCGCCATTTTGTCTTTCATGCAGGAGTCGGTATTATTACTCCAGGGCATTCCGAAACACAGCAGGAACCACCGAGGGGTGGGGGTAGTAAAGAAAGATATGCCCAATACGGGTGGGGTACTTTTATTACCCCCAAAGGACAAAAGATTTTGGGATAAATAGTGGGTAGGGTACTACAATATATCCATTTGGTGACCACCAGGGGTACTCCATGATCGTCGAAATGGGGTACTCACATCTGTATTTGGGGGTCTCATTCCTCCCGTACTAGGGGTCCTAGGACCGCCTATGATTTCCTTGGACTAATCAAGCCTATGATTCCTAGTACCCTATAGGGCGTACTCGCTTACTACGTTGGTGCTAGCAAATGGGTACCAACCAAGCCTAACGTTTCTATTTTTGTTGAAAACATTTGAAATTTGACAGGGGTAATTTCGAATTTAAAAAAGGATATTGAAAGCTACAAAGTTTTTGGAGGCCAAAGAAACAACACAAATTCAAATTATTTCAGACATTTCGAAATTTTAGATACACAATCCGGAACATTCCCTCAAAATTTGATGAAATGAGGCGGGCCTGAACAAACTCATGGGCCCATGCTAGTACTGCTCTGTTCGTCAGACCCTCCGAAGTTCTCCTCCTCTCCCAGCCTCCTACTCACACTCCTCAGTCCTTAGCTTCTTCGTCGTCCTTCTCCTCCTCTCCCATCCTCCTCCTTCGTTGTAATCCTTCTCCTCTCGAGCCTACTCCTCGTCATTCACGTCCTCTCTCAGCCTCCTACCTGGCACACTCTTCCGTCCTCAGCTTCTTCATTCATGTCAACCACAGAGCCTGCACCACTTTGTACACATCATCGCCTTCATAATCCTTCATGCTACCCTCAATCCCCTCCGACCTGGATCAACTTTTGCCAATTATTGTTTTCCGACTTACTTGCACTATGTGTGCATATATCCCTGCTGTTGTAGTAGTTGAGTTTATTGGAAGTCTAGAGTAGACTTCCCGGGTAACATCCCGGCCCATTCTTGTCTACAGCGGATAACACTTGGAAGAGCGGCCCATCTTGGATAGCCACTAGTGTGCCCTGCTGCCTTGAAGTAGTTTCGTAGATAGATTGTTGTAAGTATACGTCCCTTTCTCATGCACTTGGCCCCTCATCCTGACAAGCATCGTGCAATGCACTCTCCTGGTTCTCTCGCGGGATGTAGAGACCCGCACGTGTACCGTGACGTGTACCTAGAAGACTGATGTACACAAAACCTTCGGGATTCCGATGCGATCAGAACTGTCTCTCTAGCGATGATGGGAGGGCTGTTATAGGCCTGAACGTGCTCTACCGCCACGGGAGCCCGGGATGCTGCCTCTCTCAACTGCGGTGAAGAAACATTGTTCTTCTCCTGCTTCTGCCGCTATGTCCGATTGCTCTGTCTGGCTGAATTCATCTATACGTTCTCTGCTGAGTTTGACCACGACTGCTACGATTTCCTGCAGGCGGAAATCCTTGTTTCTTCCCGGACATGTCGATTTGTTTCGATAAATGTTTTTGAGGATTGAAACTGAACCAACTTGCTACCAGATGTTGTACACACAACCGGGAAGGAGGGAGAGCACTACAACAATCACTGCTGTGTTCACTCGAACACAACGAGTACCACAGTCTACTGCTGTCGGCTAGGACATGAACCTATTTCCCTACACGTGCGGTGCACGGTGTGGGGTATGAGTCTTTGGTCCAGTGTACCACAACAGTAGCCTGTCGTGTTCGTTGTGTTCTAATAAGGGGACAGATGGTCAGTGACAGGAAGACAGGCATGGAGCAGAGAACGACGAGGTGCAGTAGGAGAGTGTTTTATTGTATTATAGCGTTTCCATCTCACAGACTCTCGTTCACAAACATCTACATCTTCGTCATCAAAACATCTCAGAACACCTCACTCGATTATTGTATCTTTCTGCTCGAGCTGCTTCATTTCAACCATCTTCCGTTGGCGTGTCTTCTGGAGTAACAGTCTCTCCTCATATGGCCTCGCTTACCACAACGCCAGCAGGTATCGTCGTCGGACTCGTCGGACTCGTCGGACTCGTCGGACTCGGAATCCGAATCCTCCGACTCTTCTCTGTACCAGCAGTCGCGCTGCATGTGTCCAAACTTGTTGCAGCACCAGCACTGGACGGGAACGAAAGGGGCTGGGCTCCTGTTCCTGTTCCTGTTCCTGTTCCTGTTCCTGTTCCTGTTCCTGTTCCTGTTCCTGTTCCTGTTCCTGGGAGGAGGAGGAGGAGATGGGCTCCTCACCTTCACAGGCGACGGATATCTCCTCGGCGGCTCCACTGAGGGAAAGGAAAGAGCCGTCAGGGGGGTCATCCCACAAGTTCGAGCAGCAGCTGTAAAACCTTTCGGGGCAGCTTGCGCCACTTGCGGCTCAGCTTCCTTGACCTGAGGCTAACCATCCATGTGAGAGGAGGGGCAGAGCATCTCACATAGAGCAAGTTGTTGAAAGATATGCAGAATGTCATTGCACACCTCTGGTGGTTTGAAGTAAGAATCCAAGAGACTCTTGACTTGTTCAACATCGAGCGGCGCTGGCGCCACCTCCAACGACGCGTTCATCCCGCTGGAACGTTCGAGTATATCTTCAAGACTGTCCTGACTTTCTGTCTCCTGCACCATTGAGACACGTGAATCAGGAGCGAGAGGAGAACTCTGTTTTTACCTCCACACTTCTGTCGCAATCATTGTTCATCGCATTGAAGACATCTTGGTTTGGAAGTTGATTTGCCATCTGTTGACTCACTTGGAGCGTTGAGCCAGTGAAGGTAAAGTCGTTGATCTTGCCAAACTCAAAGACGGTGCAGACCTGATAGGATGATTGTATGTCAGAAACTTCAGGAAGAAGAGGAGGAGACAGCGACCGAGCTGTCAGGCCTCAGAGGAGGAGAATCGTTCTCTGACCATCCTTGATCACATAACATCATCCATACAACAATCACCTTCACGACAGAAGCATACCGTTGTCACTGCTCCCTCTCCTGTCGCAAACAAACGTTGAGTTTGCCGACAGGTTGCTTGCGTCAAAAGTCTCATCCGAAGACGAGCTGTGATAGCCTGACTTGCTTTCGCTGAAGACAAATACGTCCTGTTGTGCAAGATCTGAAGCAGGATATGCGGTGTTGCCTTCTCCTTCCCATGGCTCGCTGACGAAGGTTCTTTCGATCCCCGTGCCCTCATCGCTGTCCTCTCCGCCTTCCTCCTCCCTTCCTCCTCCCTCTTCGCTCCACCATCCCTCCTCTTGAGGGACTGGACCCTCACCCATGTTGAACGGAAAGGGGAGCGAAGACCGAAACGCCGCCATGGCTTCCTGCGAGGTACCTGGAGGAAAGTTGAAGCTGAAGATGATGTCTGCTCCAAGAAATTGAGCGAGATGCACACTCGACATGCTGTTTGCTCAGAGTTGTGCAGCGAGTTGCCAGGAGATGCAGTACAAACAGGCTTGCGAGAAAAAGCAGCGGGAAAAGCAGATAGGAGCAGGTGAAGGAGCAAGGAGCACAAAGAAGGAGCAGGAGCAGGAGCAGGAGCAGGAGCAGGAGCAGGAGCAGGAGCAGGAGCAGGAGCAGGAGCAGGAGCAGGAGCAGAGGGGTTGCTGTGAGGAGACAAGTACAATTCGGGCAGCTGGGAGCCTTGGGAGCACCGGAGAGGGGGTCACAAAGGGACCGGGTGGTGGGTCCTACCCCTTCTTCATGGAAACCCACCCCTTATTTTTCCCTTTCAAGTCATTCTCAAGTAGGGGTACAATGATCGGACCCCACTGGTACCTTGGCATAAGATTGCCGGTCACCGTGGCACCAGTACCGGGTGACCGTCACGGACCCCGCGCCGCCGCCCCCCCCCTCCCCCCCCCGCCTGAGCCTGGGTGGTGTATCAAGTTGCTGTAGCAGTCACGGGGGCCGCCGGTGACTGCGGCCGGGTGCTGGAGTCCGACCGGCGCCCCGGGCCGCCCGGGCCGCCCGGGCCGGCTGGCCGCCCCGCGCTCAGTGCAGCCTAGTATTGACTCCGGGCTGCCCGGCCCCCCCGGCGGGGACTCAGCCCCGGCATGCCGCTGACTCCGGCGCCTTCACATGGGGCTTTGAGCAAAAGACTGAGGGACTGGCTGGCACCCGGCGAGCGGCACCCACCCGGTCCGCCGGGCCGTCGGGCCGGGCCGCGAGTTAACTTAAAGGCTCCGGTTGTCCGGTCCCGTGATGACTCACTCAGTAGATTCGTGAGAACTCAATGACCCTTCCGTAAGGCACCAACGGCTCCTAGGATAGGGGGGTAGGGTACTTGCAGACCTCATAAAAGCAAATCCTGTAGCTGAATGATCTTATAGGGGGTGGGGTCCATCGATTGGGTGGGTGGGGTAGTCAGGGTTTCGCTGTTTCTTCAAGTCGACGTAGAGGCTGCTGGTCAAATTCTAGGGGTGGGGGTGATAAGATTTGGGGGTGGGGTAGTCAAGAAGGGGTCTAGAATCCAGGATTGAGGGTGGTCGGAGAATTGAACATTCAGATATTGAGATGTACGGGTAGGGTCGTTAGTGTCTCTGGGGGTCATTGGGGCTTTCTAAGGGGGGTAGGGGTAGTCGTTTCAAGGGTACCGCTGCTGGAGTTGTACTATCACCCCAAGATGTGTGTACCACCTATGAAGATACACCTACCCTTAATTCATCAGTACCCACCCTCATACATATACACCCACTAGTTTTGTAATTGAAGTACCCACATTTAGCCTTCTACATTCTATATACATTTTGATAAACCCCTCCTCATTGTACCCTGACCCCATATGACTGCAATGACCCCTACCCTTCTGTGACCTTATCCACTTCCAACCACCCCCCTTCATCCATGTTTTAAACAGTAGTGCAATCATCTACCCCTCCTTTTCCATTGTATCACCCCACCCCATCAGCTTATATAGGCTACCCCTAGAGCACAGTACAACTACCCCCTCTCCTCCCACCCCTACAGGCGCCTGCAGCGTCAGCTCATGCTTCATGCTCATGCACGAATATCCTCCTCCTGCTCCTACTGCTGCTCCTGCTCCTCCTGCTCCTGCTCCTGCTGCTGCGCCTGCTCCTGCTCCTGCTCCTGCTCCTGCTCCTGCTCCTGCTCCTGCTCCTGCTGCTGCTGCTGCTGCTGCTGCTGCTCCTGCTCCTGCTCCTGCTCCTGCTCCTACTGCTGCTGCTGCTGCTGCTGCTGCTGCTGCTGCTGCTGCTGCTGCTGCTGCTGCTCCTGCTCCTGCTCTTGCTCCTGCTCCTGCTCCTCCTGCTGCTGCTCCTGCTCCTCCTCATCCTGCTGCTGCTGCTGCTGCTGCTGCTGCTCCTCCTCCTCCTCCTCCTCCTCCTTCATCCAGCTCCTGCTGCTGCTGCTCCTCCTCCTCCCCACCCCCCCCCCTTCTCCTTTCCACATCTCCTCCTCCTCCTCCTCCTCCTCCTCCTCCTCCATCCTCCTGCTCCTGCTCCTGCTCCTGCTTCTCCTTTTCTTTTGTTCTCACTCCTGTCCGTTCCTCCTGCTGTCTGTCCCTGTCCCTGTCTTCGTCCTGGTGCTTCTCACCTCCTCAAAGTCAAGCTCTTCCTTCTTCTCCCTCCCCCATCCTGTATCCTTGGTTCGCAGAGCCTTTGTTTGAGTGCATTCTGCCATGCTCAGCCTAGTTGTCGACTTTGCCCTGATCTCCTTTCGTTGCTTTTGTATGTTGTCTTGGATAACCTCGGACTTTCCTGCCCTTCCCAGACGATAGATGGCTGAATCTTCCCTTGAACAGGTCTAATAGCACAGACAGACACCATGGTAGACCTTGAAAGCGTCAAGAAGCTGCCTGGAGCCATGGAAACGGTCAGTGGACCAACAGGAGGAGGATGACGATGCGGAGGTTGGTGACGGTGGGCGATAGGTCGAAGACGCGAAGCAGATTCTCACCAAGTTCAGGATGCAGAGTGGGAACAGAGTGAGTCCATGACGAGAGCACGAGAGATAGCCTGGTGACGTGCATACCATCGAGCAGACGTGCTTCGATTGTAACGCCAAGAACCCGACATGGGCCAGTGCGACTTATGGAATTTTCATGTGCCTGGTGATGAGCTCCATGGTGGGGAGCGGGTCCGTGTGACTGAAGATGTTTGTTGCAGGATTGTTCCGGTATTCATCGCTCTCTCGGTGTGCACTTGACGTTTGTAAGGAGCGCGGAGATGGACAAATGTGCGTAGCGAGCTGTGCCGTGGTGGGTTTGTTGACAGCCGATGGCAGGGAAGCGGCATGAGCTGGTGGCGATGCTTGTTGGGGGGTAATGCGATGACACTTGAGAGGATTGATGGTTTGTTGACGGCTGGACAACTCGTTTGTCGAACAGGAATCAGAAGGCAAGGGATTTCTTCATCAAGCACAAACAACAGCTGGATGGAAAAATCCCTGAGAAGTACAATTCACGGGCTGCTATGTTGTACCGCCAGGTAGGTTGTTCATCCTATATTGATAATCGGTTGTACGACAGTGATGAAGACTTGATGTCTCCCTTGCTGTCCTCATCGTCTCACTTCCTTGGCAGGAGCTGCTCAAACTCATCTACGATGATCTGCAGAAGAACAGCAAGTTGTACGTGCCTGTGGAGAAGCCCGCAGATCCTCAAGTAGCAGTCGAACATGCTCGATCTCGGCGCATGGTTGAAGCGTGTACAGGCGTCGAAGGCTGCACCTTCGAAGTCGAACAAGCTGGAGGATGACTGGGATTGGGGTGAAACCACTCCCAAGGGAAGGTGAGAACTTCGTTGCGGTGCCGTTACGACGGGCCAGTTGACATTTTTGTTTCCTCATTCTCCAGCTCCAAGTCGTCGGGCGAGACTGAAGCCCAGCAGAGCAGCAAGAGGGCGACGTCGACTTATTCCTCCTCCTTGAGCAGCGGTCGGTGTAGTCGTCGCGTGTCGATGAAAGCCTGACGGTCCTCGTCGCCTGCGCAGGTTCTACTCCCGCCCGATCGTCGAAGCTCGGAGTTGCCAAGGTGAAGGGAGCAGCTGCAGACAAGGATGACGGCTGGGACCAAAGCTCCTCCTCCAACAACAACAGAGGTCCGGAGCAGCCTGTCCTTGCTCATTGCGTAGAGGTGACGTGGCAGTTGACTGTGCGGCAGACGAGAAGCCCAAGTCAAAGACTGCACTCGAGACGTGGGATGCCGACTCGTGAGACGTGGTGGATGGAGAGGCGAAGGTGGTGACAGGTGGGCTGCAGGTGGGGGAACGACTGGGAGTACGACGACAAGAAGCCAAGTAGGGGAGGAAGCAAGGGCTCTGCCCCGGTGGTGAACGAGACGGCGGAGGAAGACTGGGACGACTGGGGCAATCAGGGCAGCAAGCAGACCAAAGGCGATGCTGGAGGCTCCAACAAGAACAAGGACGACTGGGAGTGGGGAGAGGAGTCCTTTGCATCCTCGGCATCGTCAAAGTCGAAGACGAGCTCCCTCTCTCTCGGGCAGAAGAAGCAGGAGGAGAGGTCGAGCTCGAGGCCCAAGGCTTCCACCCGCGTGCTGAGCGGAGGAGGACCGTACGCCAGCTCCTCGACGCTCTCGAGCGGGTCAGACTCCTACCTCAAGTCGTCCTCGTTCAGCGGGGCGGAGGGCCAGGGTGCCGCAGCTGACGTGACGAGGTTCCAAGGACAGAGTGGGTTCGGGTCAGCCGACCTGTATGGGAATGGCGAAGACAACAGCAGGAGCAGCGGGTTCTTTGATGCAAGGTGAGGAGAGAAGGCAGGAGTAGATGCTTGACTGCTCGTTGTGATCCTCCCACGTGACATGTTCGTTGTTGATTGATGAATGTGAATGTGAGAACTGGAGCTGTATAGTGGTTGATGATGAATGTGAATGTGAGAACTGGAGCTGTAGAGTGTTTGATGTGGAGGCAGAGTGGTGAGCGGTCGATGTTGAAGTTGATGTCACTGGTTGATATGAAGAAGAGGTGGTACCTTAAGAGCAGTAGGTGGTACCATTCGTGGTGATGTTGGTACCTTAAGTGGTGGCAGTGGTACCTTAAGAGATTGTTTTCCCAGCGCTTACTTTGTTTGTTCCCCCAGCTCCTCCTCAGAAGCAGCAGCAATCGCAGCTGCTAAAGCAAGAGAAGCAGCTTCTGCTGCCCTGTCCCAGGTATACACCCTGTACCTCCTTCCTCCTTCCTCCTTCCTCCTTCCTCCTTCCCCTCCTCCTCCTCCCTCCTCCCTTCCTCTCTCTCTCTCCTCCTCCTCCCTCCTTCCTTCCTCTCTCTCCTTCTCCTCCTTCTGAATCTCCTTCCCCCTTCCCCCTTCCCCCTTCCTCCAACCTCGTCCTCCTCCTTTTTTCCTCCTCGTCCTTGAAAATCGCCCTCCTTCTTCAGTCTCCTCCTACTTCCTGATCCTCCTGAATCTCCTGCTCCTCGTCCTGAATCTCCTGTTCCCCTGCCATATATCGCCTGTCGGCCTCGTCCTGAACTACCTCGTGTGGTGCGCAGGCATCGTCAGCCCTGGGATTCCTCAAGAGCTCCGTGGCAGGGTCGTCGATCGGCAGCAAGCTCGGGGGGGTGCTGGGCAACTTGGGCGTTGACATCGGGAAGATGGGAGGATCGGTGGGCAACAGCTTCAACATGGCGAGCGAGCAGGAGGAGGGAGAGCAGCAGAGGTTCGGGGGCTTCGATCGCTTCCGCAAGACCGAGCCGAGCGAGGAGGGGATGGGAAATTTGAGCCTCAACAGCAACGGCAAGTCAGCAGCGAACAAGGCGAACCCCAGCAGGGGGAGGTCAGGAGGCTTCGGTGATGACTGGGACGACTGGGGAGAGTCTGGTGGGAGCTTTTCCTCCTCCGCCTCCTCCTCCTCCTCCTCCTCCTCCTCCTCTCTCCCTTCCTCCTCCTCTCTCCCTTCCTACTCCTTTTTCCCTCCCTCCCTCTCCCCTTTCCACTCGTTTTCTCCTTCTCCCATTTCTCACTTCATGTCTCCACCATTCTATTCCCCTCCTCCCTCACTCCATGTCTCCTGCCCATGCTTGTTCGCCTTTTCTTGACCTGGCCAGCAGGTGGCAGCAAGGCTCGTGGTAATGACGACGACGACTGGGGGACGCAGGTCAGTCCCAGCTCCACCCCACCTCTGCCGCTGACTCACCGCAGAACTCGAAGAGCTCCAGAGCTGAGAAGAAGGAGACGAAGTCGAGGGACAGTTGGGGATGGGAGGAGGAGGAGGAGTCCAGACCGAAGGGTGAGGGAGGAGGAGGAGGGAGGAGGGAGTGCAAGGAGGAGGGGGTAGGAGCGATGACGTCATCGCAGGGAACGGTAGGAAGGCAGCTGAGGACGACTGGGGCTGGGACTCTGCTGGAGGTGAGCTGGAAGAGGCAGGTGGGCTCGGAATCCCTAAGTGTGCACTGTCAGGTCGTGGAGGAAAGCCGCAGAAACCCGCGAAGGAGGAGGAGGACGACTGGGGCAATGCAGACTGGGGCGAGCCTACGAAGTCGAAGACTGGAGGAGGAGGAGGAGGAGGAGGAGGAGGGAAGGGAAAGGCGGCGGGCAAGGCGGATGGATGGGACGAAGACTGGTAGAGGAGGGAAAGGAGCGGAGCAGAGTGTATGAATATGTCAACCCGCAAGGAGACGGCTAATTGCTGCTGGCGGCAAGAAAGGAATTATTCCGATTGAGTAGCAGATTGTTTCATGACTTTGTTGTCCTCCCT